GTCTGTGTGTTTGTGTCTCTGTAGGTGGGCTCTGGTCCATATCAGGCCCATACTGCTCCCTGCTTGACTTTAAAGTGAACGTGGTGAGACGCGGCGGGAGGAGCAGAGGTCAGCGGGGCTGATTTCATGGAGAGAGGGGTTACAGCAGAGGTTGGAGGGCAGAATGTTCTGGAGTTGCTTGACTTTAGTTTGAAGGCGCCCAGCGGACGGTCTGTTTCTCATTTCCTGTAAGATGTGCCAGAGTTAATTTTCACTCTCTCCCTTCATTTTTCCCATTTAGTCTGCATTTGTTCATGCTCAGTCTTAGTATTTGGGTTTTAATTTGTGGTTTCTTTGCAATCTAAACTCTCACTAACAAATGATAAAATGGTTCCGTGGCAATGCCATTGTTTTGTTGGCAGTACCTTGTTTTCTTTCTTAGTATTCTTTGAAATAACATTGAGTATAATGTAAATACCATGGTATATGGGACAGTCTGTAGCATTGTCATCTGGTACCACCATAGTACCGTATTGGCCCGAATATAAGACGACCGCGTTTTTTCAGATGTATTTCCAAGAAAAAAACATCGTCTTATATTCGGGTCAATACGGTACTTTTGTAGACCATATAATGGCAAGTGCATGTTATTACATTCATATTAAATGATTAAACAAGTCGGTTAATAAACATGTGGTTTGAGGTGACTACCCGAGCATGATTCATTCTTGAACACTCAGGACTGACTGAGCTGAAGTGGTTGCCATGACATCACAAGAGCTCGATTGATAACGGGAAGCAGTGCTTGTTCCTGCCCTTCAGCTGTGATCCAGTAACAGAAGCTGTGTCTCATTTCGAAGGCTGCGCCCTCTGGAGGTGGCATTCGAAGGCTGCATACGTCATCGAGGCTGTCTCGTTTTAGAAAAGCAAGTAGGACACTCCAAATGCGACCTTCGAATGCAACCTTCTTTCACAGGAATTCGGAGGATGCATGAGGTGTATCCTTCGCTGCTACAGATAACCCACAATTCTTTGCGTCACTGTAAACATTTTTTTTTTTTTTAAATGGCGGCGCCGGCAGATGTAAACAAAGACTGTAGAATACCCTTAAAGGGACTTTGATGTAACGTTACACACAAGTGAAGATGTAAATGTAAAAAAATGTAAGTATTAAATGTAAAATGTAATTATTTTCTAGTTCTTCTTTTTTAAACTGTATTACCTCAGTTGGTAGATGTGGTAAACAGGATTACAAGTGTTGAGTGATTTTTAACTTTGCTAGCAAGGCGAGAAATTGTTAATTTGTTTAATCCTCTGGTATTGTACATTTAGGGGTCGCTTTCATATTGTTAACTGTAGAAACGGAGACAATAATCTTATAATAAATTGATTTGTACATTTAGTTTTATGAAATTAATGACTCTATAAATGTGTTGGCATAGCAACGTGATACTTCCTGTTTCCTTTTCCGCCCGTCCTACGAAGGCCGACTCGTTTAATTCTGGGTTTGATGACACTCCGTATACGCTTCCTTCAGAGGCAGCCTTCGAAATGAGACACAGCCATGGCATTGCATTAAAAGTGGTAACCTGCAGTTGTAACCCTGAAGAGCTTTTTTGTTTTTGACCACTGGATTTACAAAACTCATTTCATGTTTATGAAATGTTTCAACATTGCATAAATTACTGGACACATTCATTTTTATTTGAATTATCATTCAGTTGGTTATTTAACCATGTATTACTATGTCTTTGGCAGGCTTTTGTCTTTCAATCACATTAAAATGCACAAATTCACATTTCTTATTTCCAAGTAAAGCAGGGATTCAGGCATTAAGCAGGAATTTTTTTTTTAATGCCGAACCTCTTTCACTTAATATATTTACTTGAAGTAGCTACCCCTGAGATTTTAAGTTAATAATGAAGTATGTTCTGACGTTGGTTAATGGTCACATTACATGCAGGTAAACAAATAAAACATATTTTATATATTAAATGATTTTTTAAAATATTTTAAATTATTTATTTTAATTTTACATTTTTATGATTTAATTAATTATTAGCTTTTCATTAAACTCGCAAAACATTAATCTCACAAACATAGTTTGGGAAACTTTGATGTAATGTAATGTTTAATGCACTTCATGTTATTAATAACAGCAAATATTTCTTTCTCTCTGCATTTTTATATCAATATGGTACAAGATTATCCTATTTAAGTCAATGTGATAAACAATAGTAGTCTAAAAGTAATCAAAATGTAGTCAGATTATATACCTAAAATGTCTAATGTCTAATGTAATGTCTAATGTATAATGTGTATAGTGTTTACACTACACCATTTTTAACTAAAAACAAAAAACTTTGCATTTTGGCCGTTCAAAACTAATTTTAAAGTGTAAGATTTGAAAACTATATTGTTATCATCTCTGTGTAGACAACATAAACACGGTTCACAAAAAATGTGAACGGGGATCGCTTTGACAGTGTTGTAATCTGTATGTGAAACTTTTCACAACTTTTCTGTTTTTAGTGCAACGTTGTCATGTAAACATATACCCTTACTCAAGAAGGCTAAAATACACAAGGGTGATTAGCTAATTGGCAACTAAACTAGACACAAGTGATGATGATAATTAGCAAACTAATGACTATAACAGAGGAAAAGAGGAACACATAAGCTAAATGTCATTGAACACGAAACTGGAGCTCAGGCTGAAAGTAATAAAAATAGTGTGAACTTCCATTATTATAGGGCTAATTTCATTTGTGTAGGCTACAGTGAATAAATAAATAAATAAACAAGGTTGCAATTATCATTTACTTTTTTTTTTCAATGTCTGTATTGTCTAGTTCGTAAAACAGTCTAGTAGAAGCCATGTGTGAAATAAATGACTTCTATAAGGGACAAATCATGGAAGCAGGGACATCTGTAACCTTAATGGCCCAGTTGTTTGGTGTTTTCAGAACAACAGTATTTATGATTATGACTGCGAACACAAAGCATGGCAAGACTATATCAGTGTAGTAGAATAGTGGGTGAAAACAGAAAGTGAATAACTAAGAAGGATTGTGTCCAAACAACACAGAACTACTGCTGTAAAGTGGCAGCAAACCTCAATTTTCACCTTGAAGACCCTGTTTCCACAAAAACCAAGCACAGAGAACTTCACAAAGCCTGCAGCAGCAACTGCTAAAACTTTAAATCACAGACACCAGTACTAAAATGTGAAAAATATGGTGTTGTGATCATAAAACCCGGAGAATTAGAGCACAAGATGAACTTCAACATCTGCCCTGGCCAGACGTGTCACTTGACTTGAATATTATCAGACCACCTCCTTCAACATCTCTGAAGCAACTAGTAGATGTTCTGATAGACAACATTCACCTGGAGACCATTCAAAATGTGTATGAATCTACTCTAAGAGGGTTGGGTGCTGTATTACAGGCCAATGTGGTGAAACACCTTAATAATTCAACTTTTCATATTTCCCAGGTGTTCACATTATTTTGTTCAACCTGTGTTGTGATCATAAAACCCGGAGAATTAGAGCACAAGATGAACTTCAACATCTGCCCTGGCCAGACGTGTCACTTGACTTGAATATTATCAGACCACCTCCTTCAACATCTCTGAAGCAACTAGTAGATGTTCTGATAGACAACATTCACCTGGAGACCATTCAAAATGTGTATGAATCTACTCTAAGAGGGTTGGGTGCTGTATTACAGGCCAATGTGGTGAAACACCTTAATAATTCAACTTTTCATATTTCCTAGGTGTTCACATTATTTTGTCCAACCCATGTATATATGTGACCCTGGAGCACAAAAGAAGTCTTAAGTCGCTGGGGTATATTTGTAGCAATAGCCAAAAATACATTGTATGGGTCAAAATTATCGATTTTTCTTTTAAGCCAAAAATCATTAGGATATTAAGTAAAGATCATGTTCCATGAAGATATTTTGTATATTTCTTATCGTAAATATATCAAAACTTATTTTTTGGTGAGTAATATGCATTGCTAAGAACTTCATTTGGACAACTTTAAAGATGATTTTCTCAATATTTAGATTTTTTTGCACCCTCAGATTCCAGATTTTCAAATAGTTGTATCTCGGCCGAATATTGTCCTATCCTAACAAACCATACATCAATGGAAAGACTATTTTGTATAAATCTCAATTTAAAAAATGTACCCTTATGACTGGTTTTGTGGTTCAGGGTCACATATGTGAATTACTTGCATTAAAGTAATTGGGAGGAAATGAGCTTAATTGCCATGAAAATAATGTCTCAAACTTAATGGTCTTTGAATAAGGCTTCATTTTATGTAAGCCAAACATAATTTTGGCGTGAAATAAGACATTTCTTGGGCGATTTGCCCAAATGTCATTTCAGGCTTGCCGGACAGCCGCAGTGCTGAAAAATCAATCGTTTTTTCACGTGTTGGTCCGGAGACAAATGTCTTTTCTGTTTCCTTTAGACATGAGCAGTCAGAACATATAAAAGTGGGACGAGCGAGACGTGTTGATGTTTGGTTTGGATGTGAATGCCGTATGAGTCTGGTGTGTTGGAGAGATGTGCTCTGACCTCGAACTCACAGACTGCTGCAGTAAAACCCAAGCCTGTCTTGAGAGATTTGAAGTGTAGGAGCGTGTAGGAGTATGTATGCGTGAGTGGGCGTGTGTGTGTGTGTATAAAAAGCCAGCATTGGATGCAGAAAACACAAGGTGAAGTGTTGTTCTCCCCAGTGGAGCTCCAGTTCCTCCCCCAGTGTGCTGGTCTGATTTAACCGCGCTGATTTGCCCTGCAGCATAACATTTCTCAATAATTGACTGAGAATGCACTCACATTGCTCGGCTTTGTTCAGAAGGGCAGAGATGTGTGTGTGTGGGGTGGGGGTGGAAGGGGGCTTCATCAATAATCACTGCATTTTGAACTTGTTTTCGACCTTTTCTTGAAAACAGACACAGTTGCTGACCCTTGCTGCTGTTTGTGTGTGTTTGCATCTGCAGCTCTTGGCATACGGAGGCCGGCTGGTGTATTCGCTCTCTTATGACACAGAGAGCAAAGACGACCCTGTTCGCATCATCAAAATGTGCCAGATTTACCCAGGCCAGCTCATTTTCGTCTGTAGTCCCAGGGCATGTTGAAGTTTAAATGAAATCAAATGAATGAAATTGACTTAATTAATTATTTATTTTATTTTATTTTATTTTTTATTTTATTTTAGAAAAACCACTGACTTTTTATATATTTTAATTCTATTGAGAATCTATTCCAGTCATGATTCTTTTAAAGACAAATGACAACTGACTAAAGCTATGTTTGTTTTTTTTTGTGCTCTTGTGTTCCTTTCTGACAGCTGATTTACTCCTCCACACCGCTGAGAAAACCCAAAGACCAACGCTTAAGAAAGATCGTGACAGAAGCGTTGCTATGCGCTTTCGATCGGCTCGACTGACGCTGGCGTTAAAGCCTCGACTCGACAATAAACTCTGAGTGGAGGAGAAACGATGGGATGAAGCGCATCTGCAGGAGCGACAGAGACTACAAAACCTGCCACAAACATTCATTATATGTGACCCTGGACCACAAAACCAGTCATAAGTGTCAATTTTCTAAAATTGAGATTTATACCTCATCTGAAATCTGAATAAATAAGCTTTCCATTGATGTATGGTTTGTTAGGATAGGACAATATTTGGCTGAGATACAACTATTTGAAAATCTGGAATCTGAGGGTGCAAAAAAATCTAAATATTGAGAAAATCATCTTTAAAGTTGTTCAAATGAAGTTCTTAGCAATGCATATTACTAATCAAAAATTACGTTTTGGTATATTTACGGTAGGAAACTTTCAAAATATCTTCATGGGACATGATCTTTACTTAATATCCTAATGATTTTTAGTATAAAAGAAAAATCGATAATTTTGACCCATACAATGTATTTTTGGCTATTGCTACAAATATACCCCAGCGACTTAAGACTGCTTTTGTGCTCCAGGGTCACATATATGATGCAAAATCATTAAGAATCTTAAAAACCAACAATAAATCAGCTAATTTGATCTAGTGTTACCAGCTCAAAAAAAGAATACATAAACTAAAATACCACCATAATGGAAACTCTTTGGCTTTTTATCCGATTCATAAGAGCTTGCTTATACACAGTTTCAACAGGCTTAAGATCAGACGTGCATGCTTGTGTCCAAGTAGTATATGTGGTAGAATCATAGCTTTCATGAATAACATTTCAGCCTCTTAAGTTAAGCTGTTTCTAATGAACCTAAAATTGGCTAAATTAAATTTCACTGTATTAACCACTTTCTCACCTTTAAAAGAAAGCTGAGAATCAATTATTATTCAGAAAAATATTTAAATTAATTTCTGTCCTTGGACATGTACTTCTGCTTTAACATCAAACTTTACCCTTTCTGTAAAAAACATGCTCAGAGATTTCTTGACATTCAGATGCAAACATGATTTAGTAAGCCATTGTGAGACCTGATCCAAGGATTTACTTATTGAAGTGAACATTAATAGGTGACTTTAGGATTGTCCCGAGGGTCCTTACTGTAAACTTTGTGGGACAGAGATGTAAATTAGGGTTAAAACTGCTGATAACCTCAAAAATGTTTTGCTGTCCTTGTGTTCTTTGGATCATGGTTAACTTACCGTATACCTGCAACTGCTTGGCCACATAATTGCTGCTTGCAGCTATATTTTTAATTGAACTCTTTTGTTAAAAAATGTAAACAACATAAAAAATTTACATATGCTGTTTGCATAAACATTCAATCCATGTACTGTAATCTTGAGTAGAAATGCCCAGAGGAAAGGGCCAAAACCATACTGGACATCATATGCAAAAAAACAGCAAAACAAAGATACTAAAATGTGGGGAATTAATATGCCGACACCATCAAATAAATGCATTTTGTGAAGAATATGTCCTAGCATAAAAGAAGGCTTTACAATATTCGATTTAGGCTTCGGATGCTTTGAAATGCAGCACATGAGAGAGTCTGAGTCGCGCGGTTTGTACTGCACCCGTGTGTTCGAGGCTAAATGACCTCACCTCTACCCAGAGGTCACATTATTTGAGCCCATTCCCGTTACACTGACACCTCGCCTCATCGGTCCCGCCATGTGTGTGCGTCCCAGAGCACAGCGTGGCCGTCTCGGTTTCGTCCAGAAGTGCAGCTGTTTATGTCTGTGAGCATGTTTGTTTGTGAGTGTGAATGCATGTGTTTGTGGTGTCGCGCAGCTGTGTTTATGTTTGCGTGAGCCTTTTCACAAGCTCGCAGGAGCGTTTACGTCTGCATGTGTGTAAAAGCATGCTTGAGTCTGCATTCGCATACCTGTTTGTGTAATTTGTGTCTGCTGACAAACGCCATATTCTCCTTTATTTAGTCTGGTAGAAAAGCACTCTCCTAATATTTGGTTTATTCATGTTGCGTTGCGTTAAAGAATTTTTTTGGCTGAATGCTTTCTCAGCCACATCTAAATCGGGGTTATTGAGCTCCGGTCCTGCAGAGTACAGCTTCAACCAACCTTCAAACACCTGACTGGAATAATTATGACAGGATTATTATAGTTAACTAAAACTAAAACCATAAAAAATATTTATTTGAAATAAAAAAATATTACCGGAAATAAAACAAAATAAAATAAACGTATTTTATTTCAGCTAGTTGCCAAGGCAACATTTCACATTTTCATTTAGTTTAACTTATAGTGCTGAAATAACTCAAACTAAATAAACTAATAAATAAAATGTCATAAAAACTATATAGACATTTAAAAAGCTAATAGAAATGACAAAAACACAGAATTACACAAATTTAAGTGAAAACAGAGAATACAGAAATAAAATCTAATTCAAAATATTAACAAAAAAATGTAAAAAAAAAAAAAAAAAAGTATATTAATGGCACCTAAATAAAACTGGTTCAGATATTAATTATAATTATAAATGGTAGCCTAATTATACATATAAATTATATATAAATAATGAATATTACAAATGTAATTAAATATAAATACACTTTCTGACCATTTTAGTCAGATCATATGGTGACCAGCAGGGGAAAAAAATAAATAAATAAAATGTATCCATATTTTTTGTATAGCTGTGTGCTGTAGAGTATTTCAGCAATTGTCTCACTTGTGTCTATTTTTATTGTCTTAAGGAATTTTAAGAGGAACATCTAAAAAATTCCATTAGGTCTCCTGAGCACTGAAAGAGCGACCAATTTTCCTCTGGGAAATCCTGTCTTGTTATTTTACTGCATGCAATAAACCTGTGTGTGTGTGTGTGTGTGTGTGTGTGTGTGCGCATGAGAGAGAGATTTTAAGTTCCTATGCTGACATTGTGTTAATCTTCCATTCCTTGTAGATCTGAAAGCTGTTAGTGTGATACGAAGCTGCATGAGTGTGTGTGTGTGTGTGTTTGCGTGTGTGTGTGTGTGTGTGTGCGCTCCTGTGCTCATGTGTGTATGACAGGTAATTATTGTTCGTTAAGCCCTGTTTTGCATGTGCATACCTCATTAAATCTGTGCAAATAGAGAGTCCAGCTCCCATAAATCCTCAATCTTCTAGCGGTGTTTGTGTGTGTGTGTGTGTGTTTGTGCTTGTGCATGTCAATAAAGCCAGATTTTCGCAGCAGTCAGTGTGGTGGGGTGGTAAATAAACGAGCCGAATGAATCCCATCCCATAATGCTCTAGGATGAGTCCGCTCACAATGTCAGAGCGGAGATATATGGGTTACCTGTTATTGCATCAATGCATGCACACACATAACACACACACACACACACACACACTTGCACAATTCATCACGATTTATTAGACATCATTTCCTGAAAATATTCCTCCTTCCATCAAAACAATCTCTCTCATCCTTTATACACTCATCACGTCTCTTCATAAATCACCCTATTCTACACACACACACACGCACACACACACTGTACTGAGCTACCTAAATGAAGACATACATGTATCACTTCTACTGTTTTTTGTGACTATGTTTATATTGAGTAACCCTAATGGCATTAAAAATAAATAAATAAATAATTATTTTTTTAGAATTTAATTTTAGAATGTAATGTTATTACACACACACACACACACACATTATATTATTTATGAATTGTTTTTTTTTTCCAAATGGAGATGTTCCTGCATGTGAGGTTTTGTAATATTAGCTCATATGTGGAGTCAAACTTGACTAAGTAAACCCACACACATACACAGTTACTTAATTTGAGAACATACAAAGACTTCTTGTATATAAAGCTGATTATTAAGCTGATTAATCATAATAGACTACATGGTTTTGTTATTAACTCAATTATAGGGACAAATTGTTAAGCTAAGTGCATAGCCATGTAAACATGTTTACTGTTTCTTTGTTCTTTAGCCAGTGTGTAATTTACTAAACGACAGCAGTTTTGCACCTGATGTGATAACGGACAGGAGGAAGGCTTGATGTGTTCCTCTTTCTTCAGGGCGGCGGGCTGAGGATGATTGACAGCAGCTCTGGGGTCGCGGTGTATCCGTTCTCCACAGCTGAGCGCAGGATAGATCTCCTGCCTGAAAGCTTTCTGCATCACGCGTCAGGACTGCCCGTCAGTAAGAGAGACTTCCACAGCGTCCTCAACAACATTGAGCGTCTGCTGCTCCGGGCCTCCTTCGCTCAGGAACACAGCGCCATCTACAGGTACACTGCAGTCCTGCAGGCTCACACACACACACACACACACACACACACACACACTCATACCATATAGGTCAGCATTTACTGGACTGTGATCCAGAGCCAGAGCACAGATTGGTTCCATCCAGAATGCAAATAATTTATCATAAATTAGAATTCTAAACATTTTCTTCATTTGTCTGTTGACTGTGAAGGCAACACAGAAGCTGCTTCTCAAGCAGCATGCAAGATCTATATATATTTACACATAACTCTACACACAAATCCCTACATTTCTCAGTGCTTACACCATGTGGTCATTTAGAAAGCACTAGCATTCGATATTGTTCACTCAAGTCAGCACAGTTTGAGCTCAATTAGCACACAATTACCCAAGTGGAAGCACTAGGAGTCAAAATTGATCACACACCAATCAGAACCATCGATGGATAGATAAAGGGGCCAAAGTCAGCTCATTCAGGTTTGAAACAATGGATCCAGAGAGACGTGAAGGAAGAGGTCGAGGACACCAGAGAGGAGGAGGAGGAGGAGGAGGAGGGAGTGGAGGAAGAACTGAAGGAAAAGGAAGAGTAGGAGGTGGAGGAGGAGTACGGTGAGGAAGAGGAGAAAGAGGAAGAGAAGGAGAAGAAGGAGGAGGAGGAGGACGACAACATGGAAGAGGAAGAGGAATGGGAAGGGCAAGAAGACAGAGCAGTCTCAGATGAAATTCGTGCCACTTGTGGAAGGACCACAAACAACATAACTTATTAAAAAAACAAACTTATTAAATAACTTATTGTCACAGTCATCAAACTACACCTTTGTCTCTTTGTTTATTTTGAATACGCGCCCTCCAGCGGCGAAAATTACATATTGGGCCTTTAATTACTCACCCTTGTGTCATTTCAAACCTGAATGACTTTCTATGGATCATAAAAGGAGACATTTTAAAATGTTTTTGAACTAAATTTTTGAAATTGTGTTCTGGTTTTTCTTTTCTATGCAGTTACAAAGAATATGGCCTGGACACCCCAAAACACATCATAAAAGCACCATAAACATATTATTATTAGAGTGATTCATACAACTATATTCCAAAGCTTCTGGAGTCATATGATGCTTTGTATCTCAAACTGACCAAAATGTCTTCCTTCACTAATCAGCTATTGAGAGCACATCACAGAGTCAAACTCAAGAACTGGATCAGTTCAGTTTGTGAACAAATCATTCAGACTGGTTTTGTGAACTGGATCTGAACTGAAGTCAATAAAACAAATCATCCATGAACTGGGCATCATTTATTCTTTAATAAGCATGGCAAGGGTGGTCTCTCGCTCTCTCTCTCTCTCTCTCTCTCTCTCTCTCTCTCTGTCTCTCTCTCTCTCTGTCTCAGGTTGGGCCGTGTGAGCATGAGTGTGGCTGCTGAAGGCTCTGGCAGTGGCGTTCAGGCCCGCGCTGTGGAGGTGTGCCAGTGTCCTTTCGGATATGATGGCACTTCCTGTGAGGTAAGCATGAAAAACAGTTACAAATAACAAAGTAGAAATGAACAGGAGACACTCTGATGTCTGACACAGAAGAAGTTAGACCCTTCTCTGAAAGCTGATAATGATTGTAGGTAAAGCTCAGACCGTGACTTCGTTATCCTCAGGAAGAGCTGAGAAAGTCTGAAAAGAAATCTTTCAGACGACACTTTAGATGGTTAAACCAAACCTCCTCTCATCATTTACTCACTCTTGTAATGATGTTAATGATTTTTGTGGAACACAAAGAGAAATGTGAAGAATATTCAGAAGGCCGGAAAAGAGACTGTTTGATCACCATGTAAAATAAACATGGGTTTATTTGAAATGAAGTCATTAGAGAGAGCACTGCAGTAGTTGTGTAGGTCAACCTGTACGTCCACAAAAACCCAATAGGATTTTTCCATTGGCTTTTGAATCAATGCAGAAAATAAGCTCTTTCACCAAAACAAGTTTATGATTATTACAGGTTTTGCTCATAATGATAATCTTCACAAATCAGCATAACTTTCATGAATTTTGAAGCCTAAATGCAATCGTCAGAAGTAAAAAGCTAAGCATAGGATATAAACAAACTACACTGCGGTCACATGACTTCAACATCAGCGTTAAGCTTTAACAACTCTTTCTATTTTCCCCGAAAGTTAAAATAGTTTTCAAGAGCGCGATTATAAACACAGCAAGGCTAGATGAGTTTTCCTGTTTGGTTTGACGTTTAATGTCTCCGACAAACTCTGTAGTGCCATTTAGACACTTGTTATCAACCGCATTTTTCAAGACAAGTAAAAGCTTTAAAAAATCACAAGGGGTTATTACTGATGTATTTTATGTTGTAGAATAAAACGTGAAAATATCTTGAGCTTGCGTTCACCACAGACCTTATTTCAGCCAAAAACCCATTGACTTCAGCACTACAGTCCAACTCATTTCCAGGTTTTGGCCTCCAAAAATACGTCATACAGCACTCTACTAGCAAAAAAATGTGTTTTAAAATTTCTGTTCATCCAAAGCGAAAATGGGTTATTTCACAGATATAAATGGAGTGGAATATAATGAACGGTCCAGTTCTGTCACTGGATTGCGAGTTTATCTTATCTCAAACGGGACTCTGTCTTCAAGGGTTCTCCTGGTAAACTGGTAAATCCAGACACTGTTGTTCCCCAGAGGTGTTTATCATAGCTGCTCAGTGTGGGGTGTGTGGTTTTGTGAATTGTGTTAAGTTTTTTGATAAAACCAGACTAGTTTGAAAAATTGTGTGTTAGCAATTGGAAAAAACTGTAAACAGCATCCCAGTGGACTGTCTGACATACCTACTGTCAGATGCTCCTCATGCACCTCCGAGACAAACCCTGATCAAATTGTAGTAGCAGTGGGCTGAATATCTAGTTTGTTTCAGGGCCTGTGTGTGTGTGTGTGTGTGTGTGTGTGTGTGTGTGTGTGTGTGTGTGTGTGTG